AGTTCAGAAGCTAATGTCTTGGATATGTTTAACTATTGAATTCATGACTCCAGCAACGTTCATGTCTTTCGATTCCCCCCCCAAGCTCTTGAAAACCTTTTGCCTTTTTTTTTTTTTTTTTTTTTGTGGCTAATTTCTCTCCCACTTTTTCCTTTCACTCAACTTTCCACGAATGCTGAAATGCAGCTGTTTGTGAAACTGGAGCTTCTTGTGTTTTACTCTCCTGTGGAGCGTGTCAGTATCTGCCTGCTGGACAGCTGTGCAGTCAGCAGACTTTCCCATGATTGTGACGTAATGCTTCTGTATTAAAAATCAAATCTTTTTTGGCTATTATAACCAATCAAGCTAAACCTGATGAAGGGTCACAGCCAGTCATGTGATTCCACCTCTCCTCCTCCAGACTGTGTGCATCATGTTGGTCACTGACAGACCCAGGGTGTCGGTGTTTTTATAACAACAACATAATAAATGTTACAATAATTGTTTTATTAGTGTTTACAAATGAGTTGTATTTAGGTACTATAACAAGGTATTTTTAAATCAATGAATCTAAAATAACTAACTTTTAATCAGTCCAAATTAACATGGCAAAACACTGGGCTGCGAAGCAAAAAGGAAACGATAGGAAAACATGTTTATTGTACCACAATTATCCATGTCAATGTTCTTTTCTAAAAGGAAAAGCTAAGTTAATGCATTTGTCCTTATGGAGATATGTTGTGGGATTTCCCCCCACCCCTCTGTTTTAAATATAAGAATTGGGCCATGTCTACTATTTTGAGTCCAGGTTACCATAAAGTTAAAACTTTTCTCATTAACGCGTTTTTGCTCTGCGTTAATGAAACGGAAGATAAATCCTTTAACCTACAAGGTTCTGATAGTGGACAGTGGACACAGCTACAGACGAGATTAACCTCATAGCCAATGCTTTTCTCCTAATTGTTTAAAGCTGCATGTAAAATATGGGAGGGTCCAGGATGAATCCGCTGCTCGGGTCGCTGGCGTACTCCCGTAACGACGGCGGCATTGTCAGCAAAGTCTGCTGCTGCGGTCTGCCGCTGGTGGTGGTGCTGGTGGCTTTTTTGTGTTCCTCCTCCTCGTCCTCGTTCAGTCCCACGGGCAGAGGGTTGCTGTAGATGAAGTAGACCCTGGAGTTGTCCTTTGCAGCCTCGGGCCTCCTGAAGAACGCCATAGGGTTGACGAAGCTGGTCGACCGCTTCACAGCTTTGACTGCCACCGGGTTTTCCGGCTCGCCCCGAGTCACGGCGCTCTCGTAAATAAGGGCTCTCTTTGACTGCCTGAGGGGAAATTTTACATTTAAATTTACATCACAGCTCCCTTCGTATTCATAAACTCACTGTGAAAAATAATTTGTTTTTGTTTTTTTTTGCTTTCAACATAGGCCAAACTTTGCATCTTAGAATCACTTACGACTTTCAGCTACTATCTAATGAATTGGTTAATCCTCTTCCTGATTGCAAAAGTTCATTCTTGCAGTCAGACAACTTAAAACGAGTGCCGTGTTTAACAGAACAACCTGCGTATCGAGAAAACGCCAAAGATTGAGCGTCAAGCGTTTAAATCAGTGAGACGGAGCTCCAGGTACATCAGCGTGTCATCCCAACGCCGACCTTTGACATCTTAAAGGTGTGAAGGAGACTTTGCGCTGACCTGCTGCGGCTGTAGCAGACGCTGACGCAGTACAGGCCGGTGATGGCGAGAACGAGCGAGGCCAGGCTGATGAGGACGATGTTGAACACTCTGACCTCTGGGGTGCCACAGAAAAACAAACTGACATCTCACAGAAACTCCTCTGTTTGAAATCATTTCTACGCTGCTCTACCCACCAAACACGGGCGTGTCCGCCTCCCCGTCCTGCGGTTCGAAACCTGTCGTCCTGTTCAGATGGAGTCTCTCCGCCATCGGGGCTTGGCTCATTTTGCTGCCATCGGCGTCCAAAGCTGGGAAGAAAGACTCCTCCGAGCCTCCCCTCGCCAGATTCAAGAGAGCTCCCCGACCATGTGACTCAAACGGTTCGGCCGCTGCCATGGCGACACCCTCCCATCTTTTGTCAGTTCCAGTTGGACACCCTCTTTGCTGCCTGTCCGCTGGCCCGGCCTGTTTACTGCTCATTATTCTTCGCAGCTTTCTGGGGGCACAGCGAGGGGAGGGAGATGCCATGCTTGTTACACTGTAATGGGATTTGAGTGGTGACCTAGAACCAGTGGGTTTGCAAGCTTCCATCCACCAAAACAAAAAAAGTCATGCCGCAAACAGTAAACACAAAGTTTGTGCGGCTTGTGCATTCAAGTTGCCCGGAGTTGTAACGCATGAAAAGTGACTCAAAGCCTCAAGTTAACTTTAAATTGTTATACCTCAGTCACAAAGTTGTATTTATTTATTCTACCATCAACCTGTTTTTAAATATTGTTTTCATATCTAACCAGAGTATCTGATTTTGCTCCCTAACTCATGGTACTGAACTGCATTTCCCACTTCTTTTTTTTATTCTTCTTGATGTTTACCTCGTTCTTGTGTGTTTTTTCGAAGAGAGCGGCTCGGTGAATTATTTTAAACTGACAGCAGAATTTCACAAACTCTCTGGAAATAAACTCAATAGCTCCAAAAAGTCCAAAACAAGCGAGCAATAAGAGAACAAAGACAATCTTTTATTTATTTTTTTTCCTTTCCGCTTCAGGTCACGATGAACCAGGATAGACATTATGTAATATACCAAAGTGCCTAATTAAACTGATTTTATTGTGTTGTTTTAGAAGCTGCCACACAAAATGAACCAGGAAAGCGTCTTAGGTATGAAGTCTGTGTGCTTACGAAAAATCATCTCGAGTCACTTTAAAAAGGACAGAGATACAAGAGAAGAAAACAGGAAATAGTTATCAAAATTTAGGCTTAAAGAAAGTAGAACCTCTATCATTTCTAACATTTTATATACCAATATGTCAGTTTGAAAACACACACACTACTCCAATCGATAATTATTTCAAAAACAACGACGAAGACAAGACGGTTTCAGAATAAAAATCAACTATGTATCAGATTCCTAGAATTTAAAGGCCATTTATGTTTTTTTGTTTAACAGAAATTAAAATGTACTTTGCTAAAAAAAAAATAATAATAATAATAATTACCACTTTTCTTTATTGTGCTAATGATTTTTATTTGTAAATGTGTAAATCATACGTTCTTGAGATGTTTAATTTTTTAAAGTTCTCAGATCCAGAACAAGAACTTTTTTTTTATCTCCTGCAGGTATTTACGTGTCTTATCCACTGGGTGGCACTGTTGGAACCAAAGTTGACATTTTAAACTGTACTTCGGTTTTTCCAAGCTCCAGTAAAGAACAACAGGCCTTTTTTTAATGTAACACTAATGACTCACATTACCACTGAGTACGTTGTACTTCCTCTAGACCGTATGGAGTGTGAAAGCGTGATGGACAAGCAGCTCTTTGCTGCAGCTGTCAGCGCTGCTGCGCTGCAGCAACAAGGTTCAAATCCTCTCTGCATGGCGTTAGTTTGACCCCTTTGAAATCACTGAGAAGAAGCTCAGTGACTGCAGACTGACAAATGGTTCACACTTCCAGCTTTCTGCAAACAACGATGGCCTTCATCAAGCACTTTGGATTTCAAATGTTTTATTTTTTACAGCTCATTAAAGTGTCTTGTAGAGCCTTCTCTATTCACATAAACAGAGGAGTGTGTGTTGGACGTACTGCGTGTTGCCTGTCGGCCCCTTTTATGAACTTACTAAATAACTATTTATATTTGGTTTAACAGTTTGCAGTTAGCTGAACAACAGCTTCAATGTGCATAAAGCACGTTAAAAATAATTAAATAGTTACATTTAGAAACTAGTCAGACTGAATGTTACACGTCCTTACAGTGTTTCGGCTGCAGTATGCAACTTTCACAAAAAATATATTTTTTACATATTTGATGTGGGCAGTGCGAAGGTTTTCTACTATACGTTGAAACACTAGTCCCATCAGAACGGTACCAGCAGTCTGGTACCAGTCTCGGTGTTTTATGGTGTGTTTTTAACCTCTGTTTTTAAAATTGCTACATTTTTCTGTGAAGCACTTGGAACAAACGTTGCCTTTGTGGTGCTATTTTTGATGCGTAAGAATAGTGCATGACATAATTGGCGTTCTTCTTCGTCATTTCAGTGAGTTGTCTTTTGAATCTGTAAAAAACTTATTTCAGGGCCTCACAGTCTGGAAACCACCGCAGGTGCAGCAGGCTGATCATCTTCATTCAGTTTCCTCCACTAGGTGTCAGACGCTGACCACCCAATTTAACTTTACTTGTGTCTGTAGCATTTGCCAGTTGAGGCTTTCTACATGAGTTGTGTCAGTGTGTGGAAGATGAACACAGTCTGACTCATTTACACTGATTTGAAACTTTGTAGAGATAAAGAGGCTGGAATCTGAGCTTGACTGTCTCATAAATTCATTAAAATTTGAACAGATAAAAAAAAAAATAGAGTTTGGGATGATGTGGCGCTACTTTTATCCTTGAAAATCCTCCAATTTGTTTTCCACTTCCAAAGCAATTCAGTAAATAATAGGACAAAAGTTCTCCGGAGAGATGTAAAAGACTCGTTGCATCGCTTCACGGTCATTGCTGCAATTTTGTTTCCCTTTAGTGATCACATATCGGAGAGTTAGCCCTGTCCAGACCGCTAACGTACTAAAACACAATAAAACATTGCGGAAAAAGTTTTAAAGGTCACAAGAAGTTTAACTCTCACATCTGACATCACTCCCCCCCCCAGTGACGTTTCACTTTTACTGTGTTGCATTCAGACTTGGCAGTAAGGAGAAAGTAATGTCGGCTTTCAGGACGTGGAGAGTAAATGTTTAATGTAGCAGTTAATACAGCAGCCGATCCCCCAGCAGCTCCTCACTTATCAGCGCATCGTCCTCTTCGTGCAGAGCCTCATAATTTCTCGCCTCCCTTGTATGAAAATCCTCCACCACGCAGCATCTCGAGGTTAAGAGTCGAGTTTGAGACGTTTCTTCATGGAGGGGGCTTACAGAGATGAAGTGAGTGAGATTTAAACATCACTTCTCTTCCTCTCCACCCCCTTTTCTGTATGTTCCCACTGTGAGATTTATTTATTGTGAAAAAAGTCTGACATCGCCTCCCTTCCTCTCTCCCAGGTTTGCTCTAACGTAACGTTGCAGAAGAACAACAAAGCCGATCGCTTTTATGTTCACGCATCGGCGGAACCCCGAACTTCATTTCTGCTTTAACTTGTAAAAAACCAATCATTCATCTCTAAAATAATCTCCCCTTAAAGCCCTGCGGACTCTTTAAAGACCAGCGGGGAGAATTCCTGCCCCGTCCCTCATCGCTCAGCTTCACCCCGGTCCATTCTGCTGCCCCCACTCCCCCCTCGCTGTGTTTATCCAGAGGCTGGTGAGGAATTAGGGTTCTGCTGCGATCCATTTCTTCTGACGTGGTTCAGCGGGAAGGTCCTGCCTTGATTTATTGCCGTTGCTAGTTAAAGGTCTGGGAGTGAACTGCTGACTGCTCTCTGACAGTTTCTGACTCCAGTCATTATTCGGATGAGCGATCGCGTGACGCTTGTGAACACAATAAGAGGAGCTACAGCTGATCAAAGCGTGTTTATGCGTGTGCAATAACTATGGGATTTATGGGATATAAGTTTTAATTTTAACACGGGTGTTTGGAAAGTAGGGAGCTTTTTGGGAGCATCATCTGGGCCAGGGGTCCACAATCTGCGGCTCTGGGGCCACAAATTTGACCTTCAACGACGACTCTTAATTAATAACTATGGATAAAAAAATTTTAATGAACGAGCTAATATTCTTTTCTAAAAAAAATTGGTAAAATAACAGACATGAGTCTTTAACATTTTATCAGAATACTTCTACAAAATTTGCATTGAATTTCTACACGGAATGACACTAAAAGTAATGGTAATGTGTTGTGAGAGATGATTTTCTTATATTTTTTTTATTTTATTTTTTAAAAGGAATTTTCCAACCTCCAGAAAAGAAATAAAAATATGTAACTTAATTTAAATCTTTAAATAATAATAAAATAAAGCCTAAAAATAGAAACAAACGGGTAGTTCTTTAAAAATTACAACAAATTTCCAATATTACAGATAATTATTTAAAATAATAATAAAAAAGTTTTTCAAAACTTTTCTAAGAAAAGTGTTACACCACTTTTTATAAAAGTGGTGTAACAAACGCGGTTCTACATGAGTTTTACTGGTGTGAGAGGAAAAGTTGCTCTTTTAAGTTGTTAAAGTTATCAAGTCTGACAGAAAACCGAAAAATGAAATTCCTGTAAAATGTTACGTTTTCTTTAGTTCTGGATTCTTCGAAGAGCTACTCAAGATGGTGATGACTGTGGGCAGGAAGGATCTCCTGAAGCAGTCTGTATTACAACGCATTTTGAAGTAGCCTCTGACTGAAGACACTCGGCTTTTCTGTCAGTCAAATTAAAAAATACTTAGATACTAAAAACTAATCCAGAAAACTTTGATATGTCACAGTTAACTTATTCCTTTTTTAAGGGGGGGGGGTTATTCCTTCCTTAGAAAAGGAGGGAAAAAAACATAGGAAGGAATAAACCCCCTCAGTAAAAATGAATAAATTGTGATATATCAAGATTTTCTAGATTGATTTTTAGAAGCGGCTGATCACCGTCTGTCTAGTTCAGAACGCCTAACCATCAAACATGGCGATTCTGCTTGTTCAGCCATGTTTAAAACTACGCATCACTAGTTTCTTGCACTAAACCTTTTGTTGCTCCATGATGAAAAAAAAAAAATAAAAAATAAAAAATTTAAACGCATTCAAATTTATGGTGACAAAATTGGGGAAAAGAAGTTAAGGGACGTGGATGCTTTTTGATGCCTTCTGTGCAAAATAAGAACTTAATGGTGCGCTCAAATGAAATAACTAAACAGGAGCACTGTGTGTTTTCTGATTCCTTTTGTGCTTCTGCCACTCAGATCCCGAACGAGCCCCAAACTGAACTCCCATCCGTCACAGCGAGTGAGCA